TATTATGCACAGTGTTGAAACTACAATCCCTTTACATACAAAAAAAAACAGAAACACCATCCCACAAACAATGTTACTGCCACATGGGCGCCAAGTGGTGGTGGTCTCCTAATTCCTCGCCTGTCACATTGGGGCCAAGTGGTGTTGGTCTCTTAATTCCTCGCCGGTATAGAATGAAATCTTGACTAAATGGATTTGGTTCACTCTAACATCTCAACACTACAAACCAAACACTGCTGCTTTGTTTCAGCACTGCCTACCAAAAAACATGAGAAGGTTTTTTTTTTTTTTTGAGGAAAAACTGTGGAGCCTTGCTCCCCAGTGCAATATATTAAAACCAAAGAAAGAGAGTTACAACTGTGTTAGCTGGCTGCTAATAAAAAGGGAAAGCAAAGAACTTACCTAGGACTCACCTAGTACAAACTAGCAGAGACACAAGACAGAGGCCACCAGGGCAAAGAGAGCAAAGAAATTTAAATCGAGTTGATCCAATTCGTCACTAAAACACGTTTGGCAATAGGTAACCTGAAGAGATGAAGCTTAACTTCATTCTTGAAAAGTTGCTTCCAATTTTCCAGTGAGGGTACTTTATGATTAAAAATGAAATCATTCCTCTCTTTCCAGATGCACCAAGCACTGGTCATAAATAAATCCATAAAGTAGGGGCCACCAAAATTGTCACGTTGATGCAACAGCATTTCAAATATACTCCCTCGCTACTCCCACTGTATGCCAATAGCAAACCATCTTCTGGCACTTGAGGAACATTCAAAAAACAAGTGCAGTGAGGTCTCATCAACCTGATCAAGACATAAGACACAATGGTACCCCTCTTCAAGATGTTTGTGCCTTCTTCTAAGTATGTCTCTTGTGTTAAGTCTATCTGCCAACAACAGCCAAGCAAATTTTTTTATTTTTGGCATGCACTTTGCTTTCCAAATCCAGCAGAAAGGAGGAGGCGGTGTGATCTGCACAAAGTGATGTTTGTAAAAATTGTCTCGAACTATAGAGGCCACCATTCCAGTTGCAGATCCAAACATCAGTCTGGTCATTGTCAGCCTTGAGTGATTCCAGTTCTTCCTTGAAGACAAGGAACTCATTGTAAGCCATTCTAGACATTGGCAGCCTGAAAATTTCTAGCAGATCAGATACAGCTAAACCAGACTTAACTGACATATTCTTGTTGATAACATAGGCATACAGGTTGGGATACATGATTGAAAAGGGCTACTGTTGAATATTATCCTCCCAAAGACCAATTGTGTCACCCATGCCTGACAGACAATGAGCAATGCTTCTGAATTGCACACTCAACTTGAGTATATCTTTCCACCAGAAAGATCCTTTTGCAGGGGCCAGGTAAGGAACTTTATGCTGGTAATAAGTAGTCCAGATCAACTGTACCCATGGCACATCAACTTTATTATAAAATTTCTGTAAATGGTTCAACAATAGGGCATCATTCTGTACATACAAATCTTTTATCCCCAGCCCACCTTTATCCTTTGGCACCGTCACCATTTCCCAGGCAGCTAGATTATAGCCTTTAGCATTAATGTCACAACCTCTCCAAAGACAGTTTTTTCTAAATTTATCAATCATTACTATCACTGTTTTAGGCAAACTCAGTGTGCACATGAAGTAAGTAGGGAGGGAGGAGACAACAGAATTAATAAGCTGTAACCTGCCTGAATATGATAGAAATACAGAACTAGCAGAAAGCTTTCTCTCAACTCTGCAAATTAGGGGAGCATAATCTTTGACTAAGGGCTTTGTAGTCCCAAGTGGAATTCCCAAGTAAGTGAATGGCAGCTGTCCCTAAACACAGCCAAACACCCCAGTGAGCAATGGCACTTTATGACTTGGAACATTGATAGGAATCAAGCAGGATTTATGAAAATTGACTTTGAGTCCTGTGGAAGTTGCAAAGCTTTGAAGCAAGGCTTTTAGACAGAAAAGTTGCCTAGCATCTGCTTGCATTATGAGCAAGGTATCATCAACATACTGTATAATTGGGAAGTGATCAATGTCTCTATTTGGAATTGGAAGATTGAAGAGCCCCTGCTGATAAGCTCTATTAACTATGCTTTGGAGAAGATCTGCTACCATCACAAATAGTAAAGGGGAGAGTGGATCTCCCTGTCTTACACCTCTCCTGCAGTGGAAATCTTTCCCAGGCACACCATTAAGCAGCACCGAGGATGTTCCTGAGCTTAGAATGTGAGAGATCCAAGTGCACCACTTGATTGGGAAGCCTTTGGCCTGCAAGATATTCATAATAGATTTGTGCTCTACCATGTCAAAAGCTTTCTCAAAATCCAATTTAAGAATAATAATCTCTTTCTTGGATGCATGACATTGATACAAATATTCAAATGCCCACCCTAAACAATCCTGAATTGTCCTCCCCTATATGAATCCATACTGATGTCTATGAACAACCTTTAAGATCACTTTCTGTAATCTATTTGAGAGAATTTTCGTGAGAAATTTCATGGTGGAATTTAATAGAGAGATTGGCCTAAAATCTGTGACCTTTTCTGGATTTGTTTTCTTGGGCACAAGAGTTATATAGGAGTAATTTATACTCTTTAGATCAGCCACGTGATCATAGAAATCTCTGCATAGCCTATAGACATCATATTTGATCAGACTCCAACTTTTCTTGAAAAAATGCCCATTGAAAACATCAGGTCCAGGTGCCTTATCATTGGGCAAGTCCTTGGCTACTACATCCAATTCTTCTATTGTAAAATGTGCTACTAATTCATGAAGGTCATGTTGTATTATAAGGTGATCAAGATCAGAGAGCATTTGTGGGTTAACTGAAACACACATTCTGGTCTTGAATTCTTGCCAAAATAAAGCTGCTTTTTCTGCATGTTCAAAAACTAATCTCCTATCTTCAGCTGAAATCTGAGCAGTCACATTAAATCTGAACCTCTCTGTGGCCCTTGCATGGAAATTTTTTGTATTTTCATCCCCCCATTTGACAAGCTTTTCTGTATAGCGTTGCTTCCAATATATGTGCTGACAATGCAGTAACTTTTGCAGGTGGGATTGGATGATAATCCTGAAGTTTCTTTCTGGCACATGCAGTGGTCTGATCTCCTCCAAGTCATCCAAAAAAGCTATAACAATACTGCAATGATTTATTAGAATTCTCAGATTTGACTTAGTACCATTCCAAGACGTAAGAGCATCCCTTAAAGCTTTAAGCTTTGTAGATATATTTCTAGCACCATCATGATGTGAGCAAGAAAACCAAGCCTTGGAGACTGTGTCCATGAAACCAGGTATCAATGTCCAATAGTTTTCAAACCGAAAGAGAGTTGCTTTGGGTATGTGTGTTCCAATTTGTACTTTGCATGGAGTGTGATCGGACACACTTTTAGCTAAAGGCAATACAACAGTGTTTGGGTATGACAATGTCCATGCTGGTGAAGTAAAGAACCAATCCAATTGCTGCATAAGTGGCTGATCCTGCATATTGCTCCAAGTATAACTCCTTCCTTTGAGTGGCAGCTCTATAAGCCCTAGATGATGTATTATATCATTGAAAACTAACATGTCATTCGTGTTGCCACCTGGTTGATTTCTGTTAGAGCTTGATCTATAGAAGTTGAAATCGCCCAAGATGAGATACTGATCTTCAGTAGCTATATCAAGACTATATAACCAGGAAACAAAATTTGTTCGTGATGGTTCACTCGTTGGACCATATACTGAGATAAGATTCCAGACTGCTAGATTATGCACAGAAGTTACTTGCAATCTCAAGGCAAAAACCTCACTGTCAATAGTGACCACTGAAAAAACACGAGAGCTCCATGCCACTAAGATTCCACCGGAAGCACTTTCTGACGAGCAGTACTCAAAACAATCAAAACGTCTAGTGCAAATTTACGCATAAAAACAGCATCAATTTCTTCCTTTTTTGTTTCCTGGAAACAAAATAAAGAGCAAGCACTTTCTTCTAATTTATTACGAATAAGATCCCACTTGTCCGGGTCATTAAGACCTCTAACATTCCAGCACAAGATGTTCCAATTACGACTGTAATCCATAACAAACCATACTTGAAAAAGAAAGAGGTGGAGACACAGTAATCACCAACAAAAGAAAAGTGCAGACTGCAGAACATGAGAAGGTTTTTTTGTATATATATACTGTTAAAGCAGGCGATAATGTTGCTATGCATATAGAGAACGAAATGTATGGGCGGCACCCATGCTATTTCTATTTGCAACAGACGGCTATTGTGTGAGCTGTGTGAGCTCGATGATTCCAAATTCTAGTAAGAATCCTCAGTCCCAAATTCAACAGCCGACTAAGCTATCACAATTCACAGGTCATGCAGGCCGACCAGTGGAAAAGGCATGTTGCAAAACCCCATTTTCTCCATGTTTTTTTATAAAATCAAAAGGTGATTTATCGTACTTTTAATGACTGATGACTAGCACCTCAACCGGTGTTTTCATAAAGTTACACTCTTAACTTTTTTAAAAATTTGGAACATTTATTTGGGTCACATCCACTATGGAAACATCCCAATGTTTGAAAATAGAATAAAGGTTGACGATATTACTCATAAAGTTGTGTTAATATGGTAAAGAGTGCAGTGAGAAACCTCATCATCATGTATTCGAAGATAGAGGAAAGAATAATTAGTTTTTTTTTAGGGGAGGGGAAGAAAGAATAATTAGTAACACAAGGCAGTAGGATTATTTGGGCCAGTTATTGTCGTGGGCCACTGGGCCGGACCACCCTAGCAACAAATAAAGGATTTTCTTGGGCTGGGCCCTAAAGAAGCTCTAACATCCAGTTTACATCACAAATTTGGGCTACAGTTCCTCCACTTATTTTCGCCTTTTGGTCGTACAACAAACTCACTTTTTTTTATATCTGAAAACTACCTCGACCCGACTTCTCGCCTACCAAAAAAATAATATGGTGATCACCTTCCCATGGGGCAACTGCGGCTTGGCCATATCATCTCATCAGTATCCATAGCCTGGGCATGGCAGACACAGCAAACGGTTAGAACATGCACAGGACGTCGAAAGAACTAGCATCAATGGCAGTGTCAGCGGTTAGAACATGCACAGGATGTCGAAAGAACTAGCATCAATGGCAGTGTCAGTTACCAGAGTTGTCCATCGGGTTAGCAAGGGGCGCGGCCTCCGGCTCCTTGATATCGACGACCACAACATCTGATGTCAGGAAGGTCTTGGCTACCGACGCAGCGTGCTCCAAGCAGCATCTCACCACCTGCGACAGTTCATGGCGGTTTGAGGTTTTGTTCCAGGAAAAGAAATATCAAACACCAGTCAGGAATTGTTCCTCTAAAAGAAGTTACCAAAGACCAGTTGGGAAAAGAGATGTAACAATCATAGCACCAACAATGTGCAAGGACTGCTGTTTTCAGTTTTACCGGCTATTGCTGCTGCTTTACCTTTGGCAGTTCCCAAGTTCTTTTAGATCCATATGAGGTAGGTTACATTAAAGAATTGCGCTATGAGCTAAAGGTAATGAACTCGACAGATTGGTTATGGCAATGAAGCCCAATGGTAGGGAACAAGCATTGATGACTGAAGTTGCAAGATCAACTAACTACTAGTATTCAAGCAGACGGATAGGAAAGCCATAGGGCTAGGGCCACAAACCTTGGTGGGGTCAATGATACCAGCAGCCATCAAGTCCTCGTACTGTCCAGTAGCAGCATTGTAACCATACTTGAAGTTATCGTTAGAAAGGACCTGGTGCAGCAAACATTTTACATAAGATTCAGATTCATGCCGTGAACTGTGGTACATGCGTTAGATTTTCGGTAAACAAACTGTACCTTCTCAGTGACAACGCTGCCATTGACACCAGCGTTTTTAGCAATCAATTTAAGTGGGTAGCTCAGGGCCCTCCTTACTATTTCAGCTCCAACCTAATGACAGTTAAGCATGTCAGTTCAGAATGCCCAATGGTTCAAGTATAGCAAGGCTGTCCTCTGTAGCCTCCTCCAAATGAACTAAGGGATTACTGATTATGTTTTCACCTTCTGCTCATCGTTCTCCAGTGTATCCTTGATGGCATCGACTTTAGCTGCAAGCCGCAAAAGAGTGCACCCTCCACCAACAACAATACCTTCCTCGACGGCAGCCTGTGAAGAGAAAGAAGCAATTTTAGTGATATGTAACCAAAAGAAAAATCGGCAGAAAATGCAGAATGATTCAGGAAGGAATATGGACTAATTCTTACTTCCTCCAATCACAAATATAAGCCCATCTAGGTCTTTTGTAAGTAAACTATCTAAACATTAACTATGGTCCATATAATATCAAAAAATTTACATAGATTGACAACAAAATTCGTCTATCGTGAAAACTACTTTTTCAATGTATGTTTTTTTTTTCAATTCAATATTATATATTATTATACATTTTGCCTGTCAAAGTTAGAAAGGTTGGACTTAGAACAAACCTAGATCAGAGGAAGTATTCCTCATGAAACAAATACAAATCTGGCAGCACAAAATGGTTAATAACTCTGACAACTTACCTTAGTTGCATTTAGCGCATCCTCAACTCTCAACTTCTTCTCTTTTAGTTCAGTTTCTGTTTGTGCTCCCACCTGTCAGCCAACACCAGACATGAATTACAGCTATCCACCGTACTTACAACACTGAATCGATGATAATAACGTTGAACAAATAACACAAACTTTGCGATCCATGTACTTTATAATACCTGAATGACAGCAACACCACCAGCAAGCTTTGCTATCCTCTCATTAAGTTTTTCCTTTTCGTATTCTTGTTCTGCTGCCTGCAAATTAGGTTGATAAAACAGATTTTCAGACTTTCACCTGAGCAGCAAATGAGCAAAGAGAACAGGAAAAGGTCAGACCTCAATCAGATTTTTAATCTGCTCAACCCTTTTAGTCACTTCTTCCTGGGTGCTGCCGTCACCAACAATTGTTGTCGACTCTTTTGTAAGAACAACCTTTGCAGCTGTTCCAAGGACTGATTTGTCAGCCTTGTCAAGTGACAGCCCAACTTCATCTCTGATTACAGTTGCTGCAGACACAGAGAATGCTTATAAATAAGGAGCATAGATGATCATAAGGATGCTCTAGAACAGAAGTTTAGCTGACCTCCAGTAAGGATGGCAATATCATCCAAGTACTGAGTCTTGCGCTCTCCAAAACCAGGGGCTTTGATGGCAGCAATCTTCAATGATCCTCTAAGCTTGTTGACAACAAGGGTAGCAAGAGCCTCCTGCTCAATATCCTCAGCAATTATCAGGATTGGGTATGCACCTCTGATGGCTTCTTCCAAAACGTTGATAAGATCCCTTGCGTTGGTGATCTTCTTGTCAACCAAAAGCAGCTGAACAATGAAGATGAAAGACAGTAGCGTTAATAGTTTGAAACAGGAAAGCAATAAACGGCAAAAAAATCAAATTGATATCTCAGATTTCCCATGTTACCTTGCAGTTCTCGTACTCGACAGACATTTTCTCACTGTCTGTTACAAAGTACGGAGAGATATAACCACGGTCAAACTGCATTCCTCCACAACATAGAGAAAGTTCTCAGAACTCCTCCCCTCTTCAAGGGTAACCACACCCTTCCGACCAACCTTGCTCATGGCCTCTGCTATCATGTTACCGATTTCATAGTTGTTGCCAGCACTAACCGCAGCAACATCTGCAAGCTCGCTATCTTCAACATCCTTAGACAACTTACGTAGTTCTTCAACTAGTGCTTTCGCTGTTTTCTCGATACCACGAGTAATCTGAACAGGATTAGCACCAGCTGCCACAACCTGGAAAAGAGAGTATTTAGCTTCGAAAACAATAATTCAACATTCAATACAAGTAGCAACAAATTGCAGCTAGTGGCACACCTTAACACCCTCAGCAATCAGTCCCTGAGCAAGGACAACGGAGGTGGTTGTCCCATCTCCAGCTAGATCATTGGTCTTAGCTGCAGCTTGCCTGACCAATTTAGCTCCAATGTTTTCCACAGGGTCCTCCAGCTCAACCTACAGAATAACAATTATTACTTAAGTGCAACAAGAACTTACTTTCATGATAACACATAAGCCTTCAGAACACACTCAATTCATTAACAAAAATCAATATTTTGCAACAATCATTATGACATTATGGTAAAATTAAATGGTGCATCATCAATATTGTATATACAACATTTAACAAGTATATGTTTCTGTTGATCTTCTAAAGTTTATGCATTAAATGGGTCATAAGAATATGACCTGCAAAACACATATGACAAGAATGAAAAAAATTGACAGCGTTATGTAATTTACCAGCTAGCAAGAAAATTCTAGGTGCAACCATGATAACATTGCACTGTACCTCTCTTGCAACTGTAACACCATCATTAACAATCCTAGGAGAGCCATACTTGCTCTCCAAAACGACATTCCTTCCCTTTGGTCCGAGTGTAACTCCAACTAGGTCTGCAAGCTTATTGACTCCAGTCTGAAATATAGAGAAAACCGATTAGCGCCTGGTTAAGGGTCAACAGCACATTGTCATATCATAAATAAAAAGAGCGCCAGATGATAAATGTGAAGCTCACCTGGAGCTTCTTGATAGCTGAGCCATCCTTGTTGAAGTACAGCTCCTTGGCTGCTTTTACTCTGAAGTTAGTCCTCCTCTGAAGGCGCACATTCTTCCCTGTTGGAGCAGCCATAAGGCCAACTGTAGAAGTGGCACCGAATGTCGAAGCCATGTCTACATGTGCAGCAGGAGTCACATTAGCATGAGAAAACAATTGAAGCAAACATATAATCCATAACCTGACCATGTCGCAAGCATGAACTAACAGAAGCACTTTTTTTATTTACTGAACAATAGAACGCAGCATCCTTTGCCTTCACTGCATGTAATGAGGTATCAATACCTAACCAAATTGCATGGTGGATCACACACTGCTGCGGACAGACGCTACCTCTGATGCAAATGGAAAGGACACACACATACACACTGACGCACATGACCACAGAACTTCAAATTCAGATGCTATTCACACACTCCAGCAATTTTGCCAACTTGTGTAACAATTTAATGGTAGCCTAACATACATACATACATACAATTGCTGGAATTTTCGTTTTTACGCTACCCAAGTGGCAATGCACAAAGCATGTACATATACAGTGTCAGACAAATGGAACAGGTGAATCCCAATCCACCCCACCACCACTGATTGGGCATGAACCGTAGAAACCTCCAAAACGCCATGTTTTAGAATTGAAACCAATGTGCCAATTCCATCAAGCTAACAACAGCAGCACGTCGCACGAGTACAGACCCCGCAAGATTCACGAGCCCCAAGACCCCAACTGCCCACAGCATTTGGGTCAAACTAGCTCTGTCTCCATCCCCATCCCAAACCTACTCGCCACCAATCCAATCTATCTATCTACACGGACGAACACGAACCACCTCGCGACGAAACCCATGACCCACCGAACTGGAGCTGCGCGGGAATCCAGTTCCAGCTCCACCGAATCATCAGAGCACGGCAGCTAAACCCCGCCGAGAGCGCGGAGGGGCCTCGAATTAGAGGGGGCGGGGAAGGAGCACGGTAGCTCGGGCTGGGGACTCACCTTGCCGCGCTTGCGGATGGATTGGAGCCGGGGGATCGCGGAGGCGGAGGAGAGGATAAGGCTGGCGGCCTCGGGAGGGTCGGGTTGGGGTCGCAGCTGCGTGTTGCGAGGGGTTTGCGGTGTTAAATAACATAACGCGCCAGGGTTTAGCAGCCTCGACCGCTGTGGAAGTGTCTAGAAGCGAAGCAGCACCGCAATGCACGCGATGCGTTTTTCTTTCTTTGATTGATTGAATGGGCCAAGATGAAGGTATGGCCTGCCTGCTCACTAATTAATAATAAAGCTTGGGCCTGGGCTGAGAAGCTACAGACGGCAACAAAAAAAAAAAAAGTAAACGCCGTTGCCGGGGATCGAACCCGGGTCACCCGCGTGACAGGCGGGAATACTCACCACTATACTACAACGACCTAGATGGCTATGAGTAGATATGTGATATAATTCCTTTGTTTAAGATTGTGAGAAGCCAACAGCTCGAAAGCTAGCATTGACTACCAAAATCATTTGTTTTTAGTTGGGCTTGCCATTATTATTATTTTAGTTGGGCAAGAATTGGAAGTCAAACAAGCATGCCCTATAAGTTGCGTTTTTATCTTTACTATAATTGATCAATCAAAAATTATACTAGATCTCTCCAGAAAAACGTCCAACGCTGAGATAACTACTATGCACCTAGGACTTTGTCTCCGTTAGAATGCTAATAAAACACTCAAACCAGATTCGACGGCCGATCTTTCATGTGTGATGCTAGGCTTCTCACCCATCCGCGGCTTGGAACTCGCCCATGCACATCGCGACCAGGGCTAGAAGCCTGCGAACACGAAAAAAAGAATGGCACCATGCCCGACTCCCAACGCTCCACACCGCCGCCGCCAATAGACGCATCGAGGAGGCCATGGATCCCTCTCCAGCTCTGAACCAACCGCCTCTTGCTGTTTCTCCGCCGGACGTGGTGAACCGCCGCGCCGGCACCCGCAGCCTCGCCATCCGCCACTGTGGGAGCGCACGGACTGCCGCGTCCGCAGCCGCCACGCCCCACCCCGACCGCGCCCCGCCCCCAAGCCGTCGTTCGTCCAGCAGGGCTCCGTCCTAGCTTGGATCTGCTCACTGGCACTTTGATCTGAGATGCCTTCTCTTGTTGATCCCTCAACTGAACCTCCTCCAAAGGTATTATTTTCATCCCTCCTTCTCCTGGTTTGTTATTTATCCTTAATAGTTGGAACTCGACAGATTTGATTTATGAACATGTGTGCTGGTTTAGCCATGATCTCTTGAACTGATGTATATGAACGGGTGTATCGATCTAAACAATCCACATCGAGTTGTTATTGCACTATGCTTAGGGGTTAGTTGGATCTGATATCTGAATATAGTATTATGTGATCTTAATGGTTTAGCTGGTGGCTATCTGCTTCCAGAATTGGTGCAAGATGGAAACAAAGGAGCTGGAGAAGGGACGCTTTGCTATTTGCGAGCTTCAGGCAAAGGTAATTGGCTTGGATTGTTCTTGTGACTCTCAAAACGCATGAGACTGTGTGCTGAACCGATTTCATAGCTATGCTGTACTAGCTGTTTCATAGCATTGGAAGGAGGATGCTGGTGGTCACAAGCCCCTGCATTTCTTCTGTTTTCATATGACCTTATCTGAATCTACTCAATTCAGCGATTCAGTGCAAATTAATGGCTGATATTAATGTGTCTCAATTCAGTGCAAATGCCAGTAGATGAAACTGTCACAGGATGCATTGTTAATGCTGTTACTTACATTGTCATTGTCCTGATTGTTCTTTGTCGTACATTTTTTAATGTTTTGGAAAAAAATCTCATTAATTTGCAGTGAGTAGTACAATTATCATGAAAACAAATTAGGCTTATAACTTTTTTGTGCCGATAACTGATTATATTTCTTTTGCACTTTATTAGCTTCACACATGGCTCTGTCTGAAAAGGCGAGAGCAATGGAAATGTAACTTGAAAGCATCTATGTCCCTAGTTGGATTTCGGTGATTGATGTCAATACAAGATTACTATGACTAACGTGTGTTTTGCAGAGGCAATTAAGTTAGGTCATGGTAATGGAGATCGATTGGGCAATTGAGGTTGTCATGCCCCTCGATGGAAATCGTTTCGGTTTTCAAAGGATGGACGACAAGGTTAAGGATAACTAGTTCTAAGTGTCAATTGAAGTTGGAGAGACACTTAGAGTAGTTTAGGACTTTGTTTTTTCCTTTGGCCGCATTTATGAAGGGGGGTATGAACGGGTAGCTTGACCTAGTTAAGTCTAGTGAGTTAGGTGTGGTGCACACTTGTTTAAACTAGCTCTAGGTAGCTCCTATGAATGCCTAAGATCTTTTGGAGCACAATTCATTCACATATATTCGGAAGTTGGAAGTGAATGGAGGGTCAAACACCGACCGAACAGCGGCTCCGGTGCGACCGGACGGACGCTGGCCGCCGCAGGTCCGGCCAGTTCATTTGATCGAGGTGAACAAGTCTGATGTGACCGGACGCCTGGAAGGTCATGTGGACCGGACGCCGAGGACCAGCGTCCGGTCGACTCAATAAGAAGGGTCCAGACTTGGGAAAAAAGTGACCGGACGCGTCCGGTCAGTCTTAACCGACCGACCACGAGGGTTCAGCGTCCTACCGAGTCCAATGGGTTCCATAAGGGGTTTTATCGCGACGGGACGCGTCCGTCCAAGTCAGCATCCGACCGCCAGTCGTCCGGTCGACTCAGTAATACTAGTTCGCGGGTTGAACCGACCGGGCGTCCGGTCATCACGATCGGAGCGTCCGGTCGTCGTCCCGCAGAAGCTCATAACGGTTCGTTTTTCAGGCTGGCTTATAAATAGAAGGTCCACTCGTGAGTGGAGGATCTTTTGCTCATTCCAACAATTTGAGAAACACGTTTGTGAGTGCCAAGAAGAGCAAGGTCCTAGTGAGGTGTTTGTGATTTGAGAATCCAAGAGAGTAGCCTCACTAGCAAATCAAGAGTAGCAAAGTGTGCATCCATCTTCTCATTAGGCTTCGCATGGTCAAGTGAGAGTTCGTGCTTGTTACTCTTGGTGATCGCCATCACCTAGACGGCTTGGTGGTGATTGGGAGTTTGGTGTTCACCGGCGGAGCTTGTGGGTGACCCAACTCAAGTTGTGAGCGGTTTTGGGTGATTCGCCATGACGGAGTGTCGAAGAATCAACCCGTAGAGAGCACTTGATCCTTGCGCGGATCAAGGGGGAGCTACACCCTTGCGCGGGTGCTCCAACGAGGACTAGTGGGAGTGGCGACTCTCCGATACCTCGGCAAAACATCGCCGCCTTCCTTTCTCTCTATTTACGTTGAGCACTTACTTTGAGTATTTACTTTGAGCATTTCAATACTTGTCATACATCCATAGAATTGCTTGCTAGAGTAAGTTTGGAACGTTGATTGCGAGGTTGTTGTGCATTAGTTTGATATAAACACTTTTTAGGCACAAAGGATTAATTGGGCTATCCGTAGGATTTGATTATTGCAAGAAAATTTAGAATTAGCCCAATTCACCCCCCTCTTGGGCATCTTGATCCTTTCAATTGGTATCGAGCCTCGTGCTCACGTTTTTAAGCTTAATCGCTTAGAGCAAGATGTCTCACGGGATGGACCTCCTCCTATCTTTGAGGGAGATGATTTTCCATATTGGAAAATTCGCATGGAGGCTTACTTAGAAGCTCTAGATGTTGGAATTCTTAGAGCCGCCTCTCAAGGGTTCCCTAAGACCTAGGAATGCCGCACAACTTCAAGGCGATGAAGTGAATTATGAAAATAGAATGCAAAGGCTCGCAACACCATCTTTAGAGGCCTTTGCAAAGATGTGTTCAATCGTGTAAGGAACCACAAAGACGCCCATGCACTATGGTCTGACGTTTGTGCGCTCCATGAGGGAACCAAGAGTGAGCGTGAGGAACGCTATCATCTTGTGATTAAAAAGCTAAATTCTTTTGAGATGTTTCCCAAAGAAAGTGCTAATGAGATGTATTCTCGATTAAATGTTCTTGTAGAGGAAGTCAATGGGCTTGGACTCACTCAAATGTCACCATCCGACGTTGTGAGAAAAATCTTGAGTGTCCTCCCCATTGACAAATATGGG